TGTGTGTGTGTGTGTGTGTGTGTGAGTGTGAGTGTGTTCGTTTTACTCTCTCAGACTACACACACACACCGTTTCTACGACACACTCTACTCTTTCAAAATGACTGCGGGATCTCTCCGTGTCAGTCTCTCGGACCCCCTGTTCCTCTCACGTTGTTTTCTAATTGTCACCAGGATGAATATATCTTACTCACAGAGCTCTAACAGGGGTATGGGAAGAAGAAGAAGAAGAATATTATTGTGAATAATATAGCCTACTTCATTTGAAAATCCCCCCATTAGTGACAGCTTATTATTCTTTGGGTATGATAAAGCCCCTCTCAACGCTGAAAGGATGAGTACTCAAATGCACGTGCACGACAAGTTAGGTAAAAGTATGAAGTAGGCCTATGATGTGTAAGTGTTTTAGTGCCCCGTCAAACTTTGTAGGATTATGTAAAAGACAGGACCTCTAAATTTAACTTACATTTCTCATAGGATTGAGCCAGGTGGAGAGATCGATGGCCACGAAGTAGGACAATCAAAGCAATTCAAGTTAACCAACGTTCAAGAATGTGAGGGCTGTCCACATGGCTGTCTCACCACGGTACCAACATAGTTATTTTTAATTGGCCAGCCCTCGCCTTTCAGAAAATTCTTTACGCGACTAAAAAACTGGGTGTTTGGAAATGTGGGTAATTGGATAGATCTAGGTGTAACGCCCAGTGCAATACTCTAAGGTTTCCAAGAGGCTGAACCCTTTCCCCCCCTTAGTAGGCCTACATGTTTTACGGCGCTCACAAGTGCATAAGGTCATATGAGCATACGGACACGTTAAACGTTTTCAGCATTTGTATGAATTAGTATTAAGTTTTACACGGGTGGTGGCCTCTACTCTTATCGGTTTTAGGACCACCAAAAGATCTTTAACATGCACAATCTTTGAACGGGACCTGATTCCGAGATTTTTTTGCCCTGATCAGAAAAGGCTGAGAGTGTTAGATCTTACTTACCCTAAGATCATGGGTGTGGCTAAAAGCAGCAGTAGGAAGGGGCCAGGAGTAGCAATAAAAAGAGTCAAGAGCCCACATTAGTGGGGAGGGGGAGTAGCAGTAGAATAGTAGAAAGGCTGCAGAAAGAATCAGGAGCCTAGAGGAAGGGGCAAAGGAGGGGGGGGGGGGGGGGCAGAAAGTAGGGATGAAAGCTGACGACAGAACATGATTAGAGAGCAGGAAAAGAGGTGAAAGGCGAAAATTTTCCGTCGCTGTCATGTTTCGAACCCTGAACTACCTCTAGACCACGTCGAGAGCTCCTAAGAGTTTAGTATACATCTCCAATACACCCGGGAAAAGGGAACGTTCATGTAAAGTTGCTTTCCCAAAGACACAGCCTCGGACCGAACTGAGTCTCCAACTCGCGAATCCGCAATCTCACGATTACAGGGTAAGCTCACCAAAAACCTGCACAGATTAGATAAGCTGTGACAAACGATTTCATTACCTGCTCACGCAGCCCACTCAGCTAACAGCAGAATGCGAGATTTTCTCCAATAACGGTCTCAATTGATCTTGATCACTATACTGGGTGCAGCGGACCGTCTATAGCCAAAATCTGCGTTTGACATTATTACGCTCATTACAAGAATCACTTATCCAAAAACACAACCTCCCCCC